AAAAAAAAAAAGACAAACAAATAAATGAGATTTCGTTTCAGAGGATTTAGGGGAACGAAGACTGCCAGCTGGCAAAAAATAGTACAGTATCGTATTAGGAAAAGTCCTATAGAATTCAATATACTTTTCTGAAACTCTTCATTGGTCTCCTTAGTTGAATCCTTTCATACGTCTCCATCATTGTCACTACCTTCGTCATCACTACCGTCTTTATCGTTGTTATCATCCTCAACATCCTCGTCAACAAAAACGGCTGCAGTAATACAGAGGATGTGCAGCATATCTGGATGCACTTAGCGTGAGGCACTCATGTCAATTCGTAAAGTATGAAACTTTAAAATCTAGCAACTATATGACAGCCACGAAAATTGATGGTCGAATCAAACAGAGGACAGAATGTTATTTAACAGAAAAAGACGTACTTTCCGTCAAAGCTTGTGAGCATTGAAAGGAAAAAAGCGAGAAGCACACAAGTAAACTTGTATATACTTTCTTATAAAGCACAGAAAACTAGAACACTCATCTGGTGGATAAATGATATGCTGCTCTGTTAGGAGAACCTTGTTTCCGTCGTGTATACCCCAGAAATCGATGATCATTAAGTTTTTTTTCAAAATAAAAAAAAACACTTTTATAATCACAATTTTTAAGGCTACGTTGCGTCGCTAACAAAAGGAAAGGATAAAAATTTAAGGAACGTAATAAAAGTTTGAAGGGAGCGGAAAGCGATATACTACAGGAAAAAAAAAAAAAACAAATGAAGTGACCAACAAAAAAGTAAATTTTTCTTAGTATGATCATACAGCAGTGTTAATAGAAAGCCCTGTATATCATACCTAAACAAAAACCCCAATGACCAAATCAAATTCGTTTATATTTCAAGGAAAAATAACACCAATACTGATACATTATCAAAAAACTTATTACCAACATTCAGCTCTAAAACTTTTAGCAAAGATATAGAGGAAACGATTTTGCTTTTGAATTAATTGTCCCATTACCAAACACAAGTGAATAGTAAGAAGTGTCAAAAAGATAACCTGACGAGAATTTTGTGGGACTTTGCAACAATTCAATAAAACCTGTGACTTCTATTCTGCCAGTATGTTATTTCAAATCACCAACACAGAAAGTTGAGGTTGGATTGAATGCTAAGCAGAGCAACATTCTTAAATAAAAGCGGGACTTTATTTGTAAAAAATAAAAGACAATTGAACTAAAATTGTCAATTGACGAACAACCCGAGTAAAGCAGGAGAAAACAGACAAATTTTATTCTCGCTCTTCTTTTTCTGGTGTTTTTCCGACCTTTCCGTTCTGCATCTAGAAAGAATTAAAGTTAAGGCAAGGTAGGCACACAGAGTACAAACTGAGCATTGAAGATGATCTTCCTAGTGATAGTGCCGGACCGATGAACAACAAGAATAGCTGTCCCAATGTAGTAAATATCAAAAAAGTAACTTCAAATAAAAAATAAGAGGAAAAGCAAAGATGAAAACTGCGACATTATTATTACAGTTACAATTAAGAAGATGAACTATTGTTATTGTTAGTTTTTAACTTAGCCCTTCCTGCCGCTTCCACCTTGTCGCGCTTCTTTTTGTTGCTGCCGCTGTTCCCCGCTACCGCCTTCCACTTTCCTCCAGCTTTTGATAGTGCTGCCAATACCGCCGTCGTTGACGCCTGTTAATTTGGCTGATGCTGTTGCCATCGTCGTTCTTACTGGTGTTGCCGTTCTTATTCTTAAGCTGCAACTTATCCCAACTACATAGAAACCCAAGAGGCTTAGAGCGTTGGCAACGCGGCTCTGCGATCAGTTTGATTCGCTCTGGCCGTTTAATGGTAGCAACAACAGTAGCAGTACTGACGACGGTTCATTTAAGTTGGTTACCTTTTTACTGACTGACTGACTGGCTGACTGACTAACTGACTGACTAACTGACTGACCGACCAAGAGAATTAGTGAGCGACTACTTTTCGTCTGGCAGCAGCAAAAAAAGATCCTACAGGGAAACTGGTCATGTCGTTGTCAGTGCCGTCGGAGCTGCTACTCGTTGCAGTTGATGCTTTTTGAACTTCAGATCATAGGCGTACACATTATCTTCTTGGTCATTTTTTGCCAAACAGTTTTTTTGCCAAAGCTGTTGGCCGAACGTATTCTGGGAGTGTGTACCATTAGTAAATTGATTACTTCCCGTGTTATTCTTTTGTTTTGCTTTTTTTTTTTTTTGTTTATCGTTGTCTTCGCCATTCTCTTCCGTCTCAATGAGCAACGATCAGCAGAGTGTGTATTTTTTAGATGTTTGTTGATTCCTGCATTTCAGGTGGAATAATTTTTTAGAGGAAGTTTTTTTTGTCTTTTGTTGTCGCAAGTTTTACAGAAATTTCTTGATTAGTTAGCTTTACTCCTTTTCCTTTTTTTGGTATAAGGCCTATTTAGAATGCTTTGCTGGCGGAGTGATACAATTTATGATCTTATATTTACACGTGTTTTGAAAACTATTTTTCCTTAGTACCGTTATATATATATATGACGGTACTAAGGGAAAAACAAAGAAAAGAAGAGGGAGAAATTGCTTGGTGAAACTGTGGATAAATAAAAGGGTGTCAATGAAGTTGTATTTGCTGAAGGAAATAGTACTTTGTAAATCACCGAATAATCTTCGGTTAGTAACAGATGTTGCTATTAATCTAATTCCTGTTTAAGAAAGGATCATCAATTGTCTTTTCACGCTAAGGAGTCTTAAGTACCGCTTAAAGCTATTTTTGTATTCGCCATCACTTTGCACTTTTTTAATTGTAGGTTATCAAAAAATTCTTGAAAGTTTTTGCTTCTAAATTTTGTTCATCATTTGGGTATAATCAGTTATAAACAGGTAATGGAAAATTTTTTTTGGTAGAAAGTTCGATTTTTTTTTTAATAGTCTTCTTTTTTCCTATTCTATTGTTTTATCGGCATTAATACCCGGCGACGTTTCTAGTTGTATCTTCCAATGATTTATGGTTCTCATTTTCAGCTGTAAGTCTGTTTTTTACTTATGTGTTTTGTTTTAGCTCA